TGGAAGCCCAAAATCTCTGTAAATGTTTATGAAAATTAATAAAATATAATTATAGAAAAAAAAGGCACTTTGCAGATTTGATTAAGGATGTTAAGATGAGGAAATTAGCCTAGATATTGGAGTTGGATCATAAATACAATTACAAGTGTCGTCCTAAGAGGAAGTCAGGGGGAGCTCTGACCGTACTTTGTTCATTGTGATTCATTCTCTCTCTCTCTCTCTTTCTCTCTCTCTCTATCTATCTATCTCTCTCTATCTCCCTCTTTCCCCCTCTCATCATCTCTCCCTCTATCCCTCTCTCATTGTCTCTCCGTCCCTCCATCTCTCTGTCTCTCTCTGACCACAAGTCTCCTCTTGGCGACACCATGTGGGTCAGAGGAGAACTGTGCTCCACAAGGGCTTTCAATGGCTGTCTTTCTGGAAGTCGATCACCAGGTCCTTATTCCAGGACATCTGGGAACCACCAGCCCTCTGTGAACAGCCGAGTGCATTAACCAATTGTGATATCCCAAGACTCTATCCCTAGACAGTGCTCATTAAACAGCAAAAACAGTGAGTGTAGGAACCGCTGCTTTGGGTTTCAAATTTATTTCATAGGTGGCCATATTTTGCCTTGTGTGAGTTGTAGATTTGCACTGTTGCTTGAATATTTTTATTGCTCTTTCATCTTTGGCTTGCTTATTGACTTAACACTCCATCTAGACTGTATATTGCTTTAGGGCAGGAATCATAGGCTATTTGTTGTAATTTCAGGCCCCATAGTGCTTAGCAGAGAACTTTGCATGTAACTGGTATTCAATAAACACTTGTTCGTTTTATTTGATCTCCACTCCTGTGAGCCCAAATATAATCCTATTTTCTTACAGATGAAACAACAAAAGCCTATCAGATGTCCTCAGTTCTGGGGCCTGCTACACAGCCAGCCACCCTGACTCAGATACCAGCTACCACTGCAGCCAAGCCCACCCACACCACCTTGCCAGCACCAGCCCCATCTGCAGCTTCTACCACCATCAACTCCATACCACCACCTCTGGGCCACAGGAGCCAGGAACCAGGTCAGTAGGTAGACCATTTGCTGCTGCAAATGAGACAAGGAGGAGGCTGAATTTTCAGAGAAAACAGCTCTGGGCAGATACCTGTGTGTAGCCCGTCACTCACCTCATTTAGAGCTGCGTGAGTGGGGAGTATCTGACAGCTGGGCTGGGCTGTCCCTGCAGACACAAGGGGGCAACTGGAGGCCAGTAATTAAGAACCTAAGAGTCAAGCAAACCATGGAGACAAACCTTAATACTACTTCTTATTGTTGTTGTTGTTGTTAAGTTCTGTCAAGTCATAGACAACTCTTAGTGACCCTATAAACAAAAGACCTCTGAATACTTGTATTACTTTCATTGTTTCTCCAAGTGTGTAGAGTTTCCAGAAGCAAGCTATTTCGGAAGTAGATGCCACTCCTGCTCTCAAGCTTGTTTTAATCGGGGAGCTCCCCCAAACACTGTCCACCATGAGTAACCATTATTGCATTTGACACATCTAGTACTACTACTCATAGTAAGTAATAATACTACTTAATACTACAAAAAGATACTACTACTGGGTTGAAACTGACTCATAGCTGACCTCTTTTAAGAGGCTGTAAATCACCTGAGAGGAGATTGTCCATCTTTCTCCTTTGGAGCAGCTGGTGGATTCAAACCATTTGCCTTTAAGTTGGCAGCACAACTTCCTACCCACTAGGACACCAGATCTCCCTTTTGAAGGATCTTACATAAAATGTTCCCATTTCCATTTCCTTATTTCTGCAAAAGATCAATTCAAAGGACAGTAGATTTCTGTGAACACTGATGGGTCGTTTTTGGTTTTTCATTGTGGGGTTTTTTTCCCCTTTTGGTTTTTTGATGTTCAGTGACTCCTCAAAGTCTTCAAATATTAAAAACAAACAAGACCAAAAAGAAGTCCTTTAGGAAAACCTATAAACCTAATAACATTTTTATCCTTTTCCTGATTGTTTCTGCCTTCTCTCTCAAAACCATTTCTTAAACCATGTTTTAGGTTTTAGCAGAGTATAATTAACCTCAGCCTTCCAGCAAACAGGACCTAAGTGCTCATTCGATAATCCTATCTCATGTTTCTAGCAGGCTTATATCTGAGCCACTACGGGCAAAAGGTCTTCTGGGAAAGGGTGGGATATTTCACAATACCACTATTACCCCAGTGATTTATTTCTTTTTTCTATAGAGGTTCCCACATTGCTTTATTTTTCTAGAAGGAAATGCCTGGGCTTGTGCTTTTCAACTGCACTTCCAGCTTCCAAACATAACTGCCACCTACATGGCCCTTCTTGCCTCCCATGCCCCAGCCTAGCCTCTTACCCACACATCTGTTGAGAAAACAAATACAAATTAGCCAGACACTGTCCTAAGCCCTTTACATATATTAGCCAGCTGAATTCTTGTAACACTCTTCAAAGTGCAAATATGACATCTAATTTGGCTTCCCGTTACAATGATGAGGGAACCAAGGAGTAGAGCAGTGAGGAAGTTGACCCCAGGACCCAGCTGGGAAGTGGCAGCACTGGGATTCCCATCCTACTGGAAGCCTGGCTCTCTCACAGGAGGGATCCCTGCCATAAGCCAACACTCCAGACATCAATGAAGTATCACAGCATCAGGAGCCAGGCTGTCAAAGAATGGTGCAGGTGTGGTGACCTGACTATAGGCTACCAGCAACAGCGAGCGCCTGCTATAAATCATAACAAGGAACAACTCAATGAAGGGGAGCTCTGGTGGCCTCATTGATAGGGAGTTGCACTGCAACTCTCTGGCAATTAGAATTGACCACAGGCTGTTCAACAGGAAATTGGGTCATCTCCTCTCATGCAATTTTACAGCTTCAGAAACCAGCTCAAGTGTTAGCTGTGCTTTGGTTTTGACACGATAGCAATGACTTTGACTTTAACTTCTTTTAACAACTCACTGCACAAATCCCATATTTTCCATGTGTTAGGCACATTGCAGTCATTTTATTTAATATCTCCAATAATATTACAAAATAGGGATTTGAAACCATTATATTAAATTCCAAATCCAGAAAGAATGTTGTTGTTGTGTTCCGTCGAGTCAAAACTAACCCATAGCTGACCCTCTGGTGGGTTTTCAGAGGCAGTTAACTAGAAGGGAGGAGATTGCCCATCCTTCCTCACGGAGCAGCTGCGGGCCTTGAACCACGAGTCTTCAGAATTGCAGCTCAGTTTCTTGGCACCAGGCACTAGAGTTCCATAAATCAAGAATACTATAAAAATAATTTCTTATTAGCAGATATAGCAGATACTCTCCTTCCATCCTATTTTTGTTTCACTCAGGCTAACATATTTTCTTTTCATTGTGGTAAATATATAGGTAATAGGATATTAGCCATTTCCACACTCTTCAGTACACAGCACAACACTACGTACGTTCATCAGCCTTGTCTGTGCCTGAAGTAGGCCATTACCCTTCACTGACAGCAGGCTAATATCACCACAGACACACAATGATGACGGCAAAGGAGAGATAGTTAGGAAAGAAGCTGGGTGGCCGAGTTAACAAGGGCCCTGTAGCCAGAACTTTTCCTATTTTTAAAATTCACTCTCTGGACTTTCAGCACTCATGTTCCATTCAAAGATTTTTTAGTAACTGATGTCTCCTGAGAGGATGTCAGCTTTTATATAACACATATAATTAAACATGTGGCATACTTACTTGCTACACTGGGGGCTTTGAAAGGCTGTTACCAGTTGGACTTGAGCTTGTGGAAAACCTCAAGAAACTTGAAGGGGTGGCTCCCATTCTGGCAAAGCTGCGTTGTTCCTGGCCTGGGGACAGCGGCTTTGGACAGCAGCCTCTCGGCCATCTAGCAGTCTGTCTTCATCCTTGGCCAGCGCCAGCTTCCACGGGACCCACAGGCTGCTGTGCAAATACTCAGAGCTGGCCGGCTGGGCAGCACACACAGTGACTGCTAAGAAAGGGGCCAAGCAGTGGGTGGAAAGAAACTTAGACATTTTGTTGCCAACTGAAAAGACCTTCTGTAGGCCTGGACAGAGCTGAGAACTCACATTTGGCTGCCTAGGTCTTTTGTCTGAGAATGCCTAGGTCTTTTGTCTGAGAACACCTTTATTGAGATATTTCAGGTATCCTACAATTCATCCATTTAAAAAATACAGTTCAGTGCTTTTGGGGTTTTTTTTTATAATCTCTGTGCAATTTATTCACCACAATCTATTTTAGAATTTTATATCACACCAAGAAAAATCTCCTAACTATGGAATTACCCTTTCTCCCTAACTCCTTATCTAGCCCTAAGTAATGGCCGACCTGCTTTCAGGAATGCCTGCATCAAAATGCTCAGTTTTATTTGCTGTGAGATTTTAGCTCAATTATCTGAAAGGAGCTCCAGTGGTGTAGTCCATCGGGAATTGTGCTGCTCACCCAAAGGCTGTGAGCATCCAGTGGTTTGGACCCACCAGCAGTCCCTGGAGAGGAGGATGGGCAGTCACACGCTCCCCCCTCACCAGCCGTTGTGATCTGCAGCCCCAGAAGCTCAATGGAGTGTGACTGGGAGTCAGAACTGACTCAACAGCTGTGAGTTTGATATTAAATAATATTTGAAACTGACATTGAGGTTGGGGGGAGACTGAGAAAGATAGGATAAATAATGTATACTGCATTGAAAGAGTTGAGGGAGACAACTGTGTAAAAGGGATATGTGATTAGGTATTATTGTCATGACAGGAGTCCAGAGCGAAGGTTGCATAGTGGAGTGTACCTGGTGGGAGAGATTGTAAAGCAATGAAAGAATTTTTCTTTTACTTTTCAAAGAGAAGAGCGAACTGGGGCTGGGGGGAGGGGCGCGGCAGGGAGAAAAGTGCAACTATGAATGAATGGAAATTCAAAGTCTCTAAATTTTCATTAAAATTAATAATGATAAAATTCTTAAAAAATAATATTTGATATTTTTAAAATTCTGTTTTGGGCAAATGAGCTAAAAATATTCTGCCACTTAGGAAAATAGATGAGTAGCTATAATTTCATTTATTATTTTTATATTTCCTCATATATACTTATTTGACTGTAGTTAAAAGATACCAGAAATGGAGAGCGATTCAAGCACAATACAGTTCATATTCATTGAACACATGTTTACTGAGTATCTGCAATGTGTCAGGCACCATCCAAGGATCTTGGGCGACAGTAGGGAACACATTCCATGAAGACCCCTCCACAGCAGAGTGCTTCAGCTTAGGACACCTGGCAAGTGTGTGACTGCAATAGGAGCCAACTGCCTTTGAGGCTTACAGCCCATGAGTGACCAAAGATGTAAAGAGACACCTCTTAGACAGGACGCAGGGCTCAGAGAGTCTCCCATGGAAATTAGGAGATGGGATCTCTCCCAGCCCATGAGAAGGAGCTGATGTAGGTGGAAGGATTCTAAGCAAGATAGACTCCAAGGAAAATGGAGCTGGACACCAAGGTCACATCCTGGCTCCTTAACTGACCTGTAAATGAGCATGTCAAATGAGCAGAGAAGACAAGTCAAGGATGGTAAGAGAAGCAAGAGCCAGGCAGGAGCACAGAGACCTCTCTCCTCACAGGGTCTAGCATGCGACTCTTCTTTATGTGAGTAGCCAGATACTACAGTGTCCACATTACCCAGGGAAGCCACAGAGCTGCATCCTGGGGTCAAGAGGTATCCAGAGAATACATAGAAGGACTTTTAGAGGAAATCCAGACTTCTCCAGGCCAAAATACAGGCATAGGCTTATAAGATGTCATTCCCTGTGTGTCCCATCATTTAAAATCAAGAAACATGTATGTCAGGGTTATATCCTTTCTCCATTCCTAACCAGTCTGTACATTGAGAAAATTATTTAAGAAGTTGTACTATAATGTATAAGAATGTGGCATCAGCACTGAAGAAGCCTCAACAACTCGTGTTAAGTAGATAACACAGCCTTGCTTGCAAAATGTAAGAAAGACTTGAAGCCATTATTGAAGAAGATCAAAGACTATAGCATTCAATATGTATTATATCTCAACATCAATAAGGCAGAAATCTTCACAGCTGGACCAATAGACAGCATTGAATAGATGGGGGGATTGTAAATTGCTAAATATTTCATTTTGCTTTATTCTACAATAAATACTCATAGAAGCAGTGGTTAAGAACTAAAAAAAGTGGAGCTCTGGTGACCTAGTGGCAAGAAGCTGCACTGCAATCCCAGAGGTGTGCAGTTCAAATCCACCAGATGCTCTGTTGGAGAAGGGGGGCAATCTCCTCCTTGACAGTACTTAAAAAAAGAACCTTAATCCAAAATATCTGTAAGTGTTCACTGAAATTAATTAAAAAATTTTTAAAAAGAACTAAAAAAGCATGTTGCATTGGAAAAAACATGTCAAGGACCTCTTTGAAAGTCTAAAAGAGCAAAGATGTTTGTTCAAAGATTACGGAATGCCTGATTCAAGTCAAGGTATTATCAATTGTTTTATATTCATGTGTATGTAAACTGAACAAAAATAAGGAAGACCCCAGAATTGATGCCTTTGAATTGGGGTGTTGGTGAATAGTATCAAATATCCCGTGGACTGCCAAAAGAACAAAAAATTTGTCTTGGAGCAAGTACAACCAGAGTGTTCCTTAGGGACAAGGATAGTTAAACTTATCTACTATACTTTGGGCATGTTGTCAGGAGACACGAGTCTGGAAAAGTACAGAGTCAACAAAAGAAAGGAAGACCCACAATGAGATGGTTGGCACAGAGACAGCGTGAACATGCAGGAGGTTGAGAGGAGGACACAACACAGGGTAGATGTAGAGTAGCTATGAATTGTAGTCAACTGCAACTAACAACAACCCTAATCTCTTACCAAGTGCAGTTAAAGGTGAGGAAGTGGTGAAATCCAGACCAGAAAGGTGGGCCAGCATCTCTATCTGCCCATCCCCTTCACATAGTGTCCCTTCTCACCAACATGTATTTCCATCAGTGAACATTCATCTTCTTTAAGGTATCTGGAAAAGTTCTTTTTCTTCTTAGAATCCAGAGTTACAAAAAGTAAAGCAAACATTTCAAAAGAAAAATACATGAAGGTCATGACCAGTCAGGCCTCGATGAGACAATTAGAAATGAACAATAAAGATGACAAAAGATATTTTACTTCATGAGGAAGCAAATAATGCAAATTAAACTATCGCTTTTCACCAACACAGGCTGGAAAACTATAATAGACAGTATTGACAAGGCAGTGTCTCAGTGACCCAGAATTTGGACTTGCAGGAATATGCCCTTAGGTAACAATAAACCAAGGACTTAATAAGAACAAATGGAAAGAGATTCTATTCATAATAGAAGAATAAATGGGAGCAATCTAATTGTCTATTATTAGAAGAATGATTAAAGAAATTGCTGTACCAGGTGATAAAGGGTTGACTCAACTCATTTTGTCTGTCAGAGCGGAGCTGGCCTCCATAAAGTCCTCACGAACCAGGACTTTCTTCCAAGGTACCTCTGGGTGAACTCTGAACTCCAGCCTTTCTGATAGCACCCAAGTGCTTTAACCGCTTGGACCACCCACATACAGCTGCCATGAGGCCTTTAGAGTCATGATGAATGAGCACACTTAATGACATGGCAAGAGTGTCCACTGCAGATTGCCAAATCAAGCAAGCTAGAAAACAGCATGGACACCAGCCTTTCCCCCCCCCTGTAACTGTATTGCATATGATAATGTGCACATCATTAAAAGGACAAGCAAATGCATACTAAAATTACATACTCTTATAACTATGGGAATGCAGGTTGTCTCTTAATATTGTGTTGGTGTGTACCATTGAGTCAGCTTCGATGCTGACCCTCCAGCAGCAGGTTTTCAGAGGAGATAGATCACACAGGAGGAGACCACCTGTCTTTCTCCCACAGAGTGGCTAGAGGATTCAAACTGTGTGCCTTTGGGCTGACAGCTCAACTCCTTACCACTAAGCCACCAGAGCTCCCTAATTTATTACTCACAGTATATAATTCTTCAGAGTGAACATGTGTTAACTGTATAAATAGAGAAAATGTAGAATTATTTTGCGTTTCTGTCCAAATCATTGAACAAAAGGCAAAGGCAGATATAAATCGATTGAAAATTGAACCATGTTCTAAGAGGCACGGCTGTTTTTCCATGACCTCTCGTTGCCTCCCAGCAGGAAGCTTGGCTCTTTTCCTGACTGGTTTCACAAGGCCTCCCTCCTGCATGAGGAGCTTGGCATTTCTCTTTACAGAATCCCCATCTCCCTCCTCTCTTTTAAAATTTTGCTTCAGAGAAATTGTCCAGTAAATAATGACTGCTGGAGTTTTATTTGATTCTGTCACAGGGTAATTAAGAATACCCTGCTGTGTACCTTTTAAAATTACTAAAAGCTAATGCTATTTGCATCAATACCATGTTAACACAGTTTAAGCAAACTGCTAAATGTTAAGTGACGTTTCTATTGAAGGATTACTGTAACCTCCTTGTGAGTGGCACCGCTGAGGAGAATTCTTGTAAGAATAATGAAGTGTAAAAAGAAATAGAGCACTCTGGTAAAAGATATTTGCTTTGACAATTGAGAAATACAAAAGTGTTATTAGCTGACATTTTCAGCCAGTCTGTTGGCTTAAATCTACATTACCTCCCTTCCCCATTTCAATGTCTCCTTCAGGGCAGGTTCAGACTGCCCAAGTACGAAGCTTTACCTTGATTCTGATCTTGCTAATTTCTTGCTCGATTGGGTCACGGAAAGAATGAGAACAGATTAAAATTCATGTTCTGGCCAGTCCAATGCTATTGCAGATCTCTGGTCCACAACTACCTACACCAGCAGCCCAAACAACTGCTGTGCTCACCCAGGGAAGAAACTCAGCTCACCTTTCCAGCTGTGGATTAAAGTTAAGCCTGTTTCCATGGGGTTCGTCTTTCTAAATCCTTGTCATTTGATTTCAATTTGGACAGAAAGCATGAAACCGCATAGGCTGAGGGAGGGTACTGCCCTGACAGAGTCTGTGTAGAAAGTAAGGAAGTCATTAAACAAGTCAAGCCTTCCTTCACCAAATCATAGTCACCTTGAGGTGACTTTGTGGAGATTGTGACAGGATTCTTAAGGATTTGGCAAACGGGCTCTTAAAAACCTGGGAAGGGTTACTACCTAAGGTTTATGCCTGAAGAACTAAGCTCAAAATATAGGTGAGGATTTTATCATCACCAAGAAAGGAATAACTTTATTTTGCTCTGGGCTGTGTCTACAATCTGGGATAGGGAACTACTTTTTCTCTCCTCCAGGAATTCTGTGAGCTGTGGCCTTCCTTGGCTCTCCTTTCTACATGTCTGCCTGTACTTCTAGGCTAAGGACTGGAAATGCGGAGGGATGGAGCAAATTCTCTTCCCTGTAATGCTGTTAAAACCTCTAGAGGTTAAAAAAGAAAAAGTGAGCAGGCTTAACAGTGGTGGTTTTGGGTGGGAGGGTAGCTGCCACTGACTCGGCTTTCAAATCCTGGAGGCCCAATGCACAGTAAGACAAATCTGCCCTACGCTGCATTATCCCCGAGATAGATCAGATCAGATGAGGCCCTTGGGAGTCAGAGGCTTTTCACTGGCTTATTTTTCATCAGTAGACCTATCTGTTCAGCGTGATAGCAACACACAAGCCTCCAGTGGCAGATGGGTGATGGCTGCACATGAGGTATAATGTCAGGTATCAAACCCAGGTCTTCCACTAGGAAGGTAAGAATTCCACCACTGAGCCACCAACACCTCACGATAGACTTGGTAAGGGGTTTAAATTCCCATTGAAGCTGGAAGACACCAGGATGGAAAGATTGTACCTCCATCAAGGGATTTTTACTTTCTGCATGTCTACCACCTTCTTCATATTTCAAGATTCCTAGATATTCATAAAGCCTCTTCTGCACTCCTCACATTAAAAGATTTCTCAACAAAAACTCAAGCCCATTGCCTTCAAGTCCAGCATGTTTCTGAGGGGCTGAAATCACATTCTTTTCTTAAAACCAAACCATGTTGTTGTTGTTATGCGCCGTCAAGTCGTTTGCGATTCATAGCGACCCTATGTACAACAGCCCTAAACTCTGCTCTGTCCTGGGCCAATCGCACTGCCTCTGACACACCCATCCTGATTACCGCAGTCACTGAATCAATCCACCTCATAGAGGGTTTAACTTAAATAGTAGGAAAAATAACTGTCTTGAGCGTGATACTCTTTTTTTTAGTTTCTTTTATTTTTTTTTAATAATTTTAATGAACATTTACAGAGAATTTGGATTCCCATTCATTCATTGCTGCACTTCTTTCCCTGCCCAGCCCTCTCCCCCTGCCCCGCAGTTCGCTCCTCTCTTTCAAAAGTAAAAGAAAGACTCCCTCCCTGGTACACAATCCCCCCGCACCCCTCCCACTGCCCCAAGTACGTTCCACTATGCAACCTTAATTGTGGACTCTTGTGATAACCATAATACCCTATCATACATCGCTTTTAAATTATTCAGTCCCTCATCTGTTTCAGTGCAGTATATACAATTTATCAAGTTTTTCTCAGTCTTATCCCCACCCTGATATCAGTCCCATTTTACAGCAGTGGCACCATGCAATATTTGTCCTTTTGCGACTGAGATATTTCACTCAGTATAATGTCCTCCAGGCTCACCCATTTTGAATAATATTGAATGAGTTCCTTGTTTTTCAATGCAGTATAGTATTCCATTGAGCACGATACTCTTTTAAGCACTACCTTTGGGGTCAAAACATCATCATCAATTCAGTGAGGATGGAACAACTAAGAAAGTAATCAGTGTCACTGGATTGAAGTTCAAACTGACAAACTAGTGTATAACTTGTGTGTATTCCAACAACAACAAACTCCTTTCCTTAAGTGTATAATGGGGGGGAAAGATAAAGCAAATTAGTTGGAATAATCCAGGAAAGAAACTATCAAATATGAGAAGACCAAAAAAGAGAGTCAAGAAAGATATGTTGCATCAACAAAGAAATGCATAGAAAAATTATGGTACATTCACACAATGAAATATTATGCAGCATTGAGAAAAAAATGAACTCCTAAAACATTACACAACATGGCGGAGCCTGGATGATGTTAAGCTGAGTAAAATATTTCAGTCTCAAAAGGACAAACACTGCAAACACCACTGTTATAAAATAGGACAGATGTTGGGGTGGGTGAAGAGAGAGGAAAAAGAGTGGATAGATAATGAAGACTGCAATAAACAGATGAGGGGGGAAACTCTCCAAAAGGAATATATGATCAGACATCATATGTATGACAACAATATGAAACAAGGGGTGCTTTGTGAGGTGGGGTAGGAGAGGCAGAGGGAGAAGGGGGAAGAAAATATGCAACAATGAATTTAAAAGCAATAATAATATATTTTTTAAAAAAGAAAGATATCTTAGTACTGAAATTGGATTATTCTCTATCATTGACTGCAATGAATTATGTACATATCATAGTAATGACTATTTCAAGTCTATTGGTTGATATATATGTATATACATATATTTATATATTTTATTGATGTACATATTAAGAATGTTTGAATTTCAGGTATAGAAAAAAACTAAAGTATCAACAATGGCAATATAAAAAAATTCAAATTAAAAATCCTAGACACTGTAGGATCTGTTTTGCTTTGACACCGGATCTGGGGCAGGGGCTCCACGGGGTTCCCTGAGCAGGGCTAACAGTTTGCTCCAGCTTTACAGTTGCACCTTTGCCAATATGCATGCTATTGTTCTGCACAAAAGGGCTTAAGAATCTGCAGATGGTCGAGGCCCGAACACCAGGGCTATCTTGGGTTTCAACAGGCCCAAGGGACTGTTCAAGAGGCCAAGTCATGGGCACTGTCTCCTCTTGTCCCCTGGTCAGGCTTTCTGTACCTCTGGAAGCTCCTAAAGTAGAATCAGCCACAGAGAGCTCTGCTGATGTCTAGAGTCACAGTATTCAGGGGACAAAATAAGAGAAGAAAGCTGCTAGCTGACCCCACCCTTGTTAACCATGGTTTTATGCAAATAATGCACAAGCGTTGTAATTTGTTGGCAAACTACACAGCCTCCTCACACAGTATTTTCCTGTGCACACCCTGCATGTTATATGTGTGTGCATTTTTCTATGTGGATGCATCATATGCAGAATAATTCTATATCCCCAGGTCTCCAGAGGCAGAATTCCTCAGGAGTTGCTTTCCAGAAAACTGCTGAAGCAGATCTTAGCCTGGGTAAGTGGCCACCATTTCCCCTCCCCGCTGCTGAGAATGTCCCACACACTTGATGTTACCTCTGCAGCTCCGCTCCTGGTCACTAGGGTTTTGGGTCATGTCAGGTCATTTTAACTGATAGAAAGGTCCCCTCTGTCTATTCTCAGTGTGTCAAAGAGAAAACTCTCTGTCAGCTCAAATGCCCGAGGGATCTCATTCACTCATGTCAGCCTGAGAGGTTTCTTCCATAGTAGCCTCTGCTCCCACCGGCACATCCCAGGCTCACCCCTGGAATAAAATGTAAATACAAAGTCAGACTTTTCATAGACGTTCGGGGTTGGTGGAGGGGCAAATCACTTGATCTCCAGGTTCTGTCCTTTTTCGCCTGTTAACCTGGAGGTTAATACAAGGCTGTAATCAGCATTTGGCCACATTGCATCTCTTCTCCTTGCACTACTGTTGTCCCAGTCTAGAACTCTGTAACTCATGGTTTCTTCTCCATTCTCCTAGATATACCCAGTGATTACCCTCTACATCTACAGATACTTACCGCACTTTTTCACCCTATCCATTTCTGCTATTCCCATCTCACCACCATCATCTCTGCAACTTTGCTCTGACCCATCAGTCCCTCCCTAACTTCCATTAGCTTTTGATGGAATTCCCTAGGCAGAAGGTCGGCAGGCCTTGACTAGTCATGCTACGTTAAGACACCTATTGCCAAGTCGATTCTAGGTCATGGTGAGCCCCATGTTGCTGAGTGAAACTGCTCCATAGAATGTTCAAGACCTCTAGTTTAAAAAGATTTAAAGGGGGGGAAAAAGAATGTTCAAGACCTCTTAGAAGGAAATCACTGGGGTTTTCTTTTTTACTTTATGAAATTTAAAGGCGCATTGCCATGGGAAAGTCTGCTGTTAGGGACCTCTCCAAAGTACTGAAGAGCAATGGTGTCTCTCTGGAGACTAAGGTGTGTTTGATACAGGCCATGGTCTTCACACTCACTTGTTATGCATCAGAGAGTTGGACAGTGACCAAGGAGGAAAGAAGGAGAATTGATGCCTTTGAGCTGTGGTGCTGGAGAAGAGTATTGAGAATACCATGGACTGCTAGGAAAACAAACAGATTCATCCTGGAAAGGGTTAAACCGGGTGGCTCCTTGGTGGCAAGGATTCTGAGGCTCCATCTAACATACTTTGGACATGTTGTGAGGAGAGACCGGTCCTTGGAGAAGGACATCATGCTTGGGAGGGTGGAGGGACAGTGCAAGAGGAAGGGAAGACCCTCTATGAGGTGGATTGATTCAGTGACTGGGATAATTGAGATGGGAGTGTCAGAGACAGTGTGATTGGCACAGGACAGAGCAGAGTTTAGGGCTATTGTACATAGGGTCGCTATGAGTTGCAAGCGACTCGACGGTACATAACAACAACAACAACATACTAATTTATGGGTTTTCTTTTTTAATCACCTTTGGATGGTTTTGAACCAATCTTCGGAGCTATTTGTACCACCACCCAGGCAGTTCTATTGACTCTAGACGTATATATAATCAAGATATTGTGACTCCTGCAGATGGCAGGAAGCCATTGTCCACCCTGAGAAAACACAAGAGCACGTGGAGGTCTTAGATACCTTTCAACCAGTCCTCACCTCCGCAGATGGAGTACACGTGTTCTCATGGCTGCATATCAGGGAGGTCACCCACTTCCTCACCTATCAAATCATCCCTCAAACTCCGAACATGACATTTGAAAGGATTGCATAAAGTTTATCTGTTCTAAATTAACCCCTCATGACACACCAGATAGGTGTGCCTACCCTTTATCTGATAACTAAGGATGTCCCAGTCCCTTCATGTGAAGGAAATCCTGGGTGGTACAAATGGTTAATGTACCTGCCTGCTGACTGAAAGGTTGGAGAGTCAAGTCCACTCAGAGGGGCCTTGAAAAAATTGACTGGAAATCTTCCTTTAGAAACCAGCCACTGCAAACGCTATCAAGCACAGTTGTACTGGACTCCTAATTATGTTAGTGAGTGGTCTCCGAGGGTCCTGCGGGACCTCACTTTCTTTGAGCAGCTCCTTTTTCTGACTACATATCAGTGTGAGCCCAGATTTTCTTCACTAGCTCAACCAAAACAACATACCACAGCAGATTAACCGCAGAAGCTGCTATCAGATCCCAACAATCTTCTACTAACTAGATACTGAAGGAATTTGCCTCTCTTCTCATTGAATTTTTTTGCCTCATAAACAGTAATTTTTTTCAAAAAATAATATTTTAAAATCTCAAACACCAGGAGTCAGAACTCACTGAGTAAAAATTGGGTTTTTTGCTCGTCAGTTTGTGTTTCAATTGTTAACTTAAAGTGTATTAATAATTAAAAACATTGGTAGTAAGTACCCTACTTCAAAATGGAGAATGCGTAGTTTTCTTTTCTAATACTGTTAATATCAACAGATTTTGGCTCCACAGAAACAATGGCTCTTTGAATTCTTTAAAGACTTTTAAGAGCATAACGAGGCTGAGACTAAAAGAAACAAATAAACAAACAAACAGTAAGTCTTTGAAATATATACTAACTTCCTTTCCTCCTTTACTGGTCATTTCCAGGATATATTTTTTCTAATTTCTCTAACAGGTCCTTACACAACTCAGTTCCAGTCCAGCCTCTAAGCTATTGAAATTAAGTGCTGTTGAATAAGTCCTAACTACCCAAAACTGTGTAACACAGTACAACTGCTCAATGGGATTTTCTAGGCTGAACTAATATGTTTTGCACCACAAACCAAAAGGTCAGCAGTTGAGTCCACCAGTGGCTCCACAGGAGAATGATGTCCATTCTTCTACCATTAAGGTCAATAGCTTCAGAATCCAACAGCGAGTCACTCTTAACCGGAATCCACTCAGAGGCAGTGGGTTTATTTTGGATTTTAAATTTTGTAGAATTCAATCACCACAACTTTCTCCTGAGGAGTCACTGTGTAGGTGTGATGCACCAGGATGGTCCATTAATAACTTTTGAACACATTATCCAGAGTCAAACATGATGCTATAAGTGGTATATTGGGGATTACCCTGCCTCATCCTGAATACCCCACTTTCATTAAAGCATCTTAGGTCTCATTTGGGCAAAGCTCCCTCTCACCACTGATTGATCTTCTGCTAAATATGCAATAGCTAACATCTTTTCTATTACATATTTATGTGTTTATTTTCAGGCATATCATATATCACCATTCTTTAATATATTAACATTATATACATTTTGGATTATATTAGAAGCCCTGGTGGCATAAAGGGTTGTACTCCTAACCCAAAGGCTTAGCCCTGATGGTTAGAATTTGTCAGGAGCTCCTTGGGAGAAAGACAAGTAATCAGTGTGATTTACAGCTTCAGAAGCCAATGGATGATCAACTATGAATCAGTCTCAAATCAAGGGAAATGAGTGAGAGTGTGAGTGATATATTCTGTTAAAGCAGGTCACTCAAATCCTGTTGATGTGCAACTGATTTTTTAAACTCCAAACTGGCATATTATACTTCTCTATTACATTTTCCTTTGATTTGACTACGGCCTCTTTTTTAACCTTAATATTATCATTTAGCATCTTACCTAGCCTTCCAACCCTTGTGTCATCCACAAAACTGATTAACATGCTACCTTCCTTATGCTAGTCAGATGAAAACATAGCACATGGGAAGAATTCCATAAGCCCCACCATGCTCAGGGCAGCATTGGGAAATAGTCCTCTGTGTTCAGTGCAACCTGTTAACAGACACCAGCAGCTAAATATGGGCCTATTGATGCTGCCCTCCAGGCCCAGTATTTCATCTCCATCTCAGGACTCCTGACTAAGGAATAATTGGTGGTTTGTTCTGCCTGCTACTCCCAACTATGCCATCACCCCATAGGTATAACCATCAAAACCCATTGTTGGAGGTAATGAAGGAAGTCATCCAAGTTGCATGGAAGACAACAACAAAAATAGAGTTACAGCAATTAAAAAAATACCAATTGAAGTGTTTCAACAAACAGATGCAGTGCTGGAGCTGCTCACTCAACTAGGGAGGGAAAAAAAGCTATATTTGTCCAATACCAAAAAAGAAAAAAAAAACCAATGAGCCAGCAAAATGCAGATATTGTTGAAAAATATTAATATCACATGCCAGTAAAATATTGCTGAAGACAACTCAAAGGCAGCTGGAGCAATGATTTTGTAAATTACTACCTTGGGAGGGACTGGAGAACATTATGCTGAGTGAACTAACTTCATCCCATAAGGACAAATACTGTATAAAATCGTTAATATAGAATAAGTATGAGGATTCAAGGAGTGGGGAGGTGAAAATCCTAGGGGTAAGGATGGGCAGCGCGGAGGTATGCTAATAATAGGGTTGCACAATTCCATGGGTGAAGGGTGTGAAGGAAATGGGAAGGATTTTGTGTGACAATGTATTCAAACTTTGTAAACAAATTAGTATGTAGAAAATTTAAAAAAATTTAAAAAAAAAAAAAGAAGATCGGTTTCAGAGCAGGAGTAGGGGCTCTGGGAAATCCAGATAAATGAGAATGATTTCTCCTGGGTAAGTAAGAGAGCACACCACATGCCAACTCTTCTAGACACCCAAGGGTGCTGGAAGCTTTGGGAAAAAGCTGACAAGATGCCGCCATTTGTCTTAGGGAAAGTATACATCTTTACCAGTAGGTGGCAGTATAATAATAAGACTAAAGAAGCAAGATGTTTCAAAATATAAATCATATTTTTTAACTTGGAGGCTATCTCTCCCAGTCAGTAATGTTAATGACAAAGCAATTGTGGTCCATGAGGCAGTGTGTATATGACTTGCTCAAGGTCACACACGTGGCTAATGGCTGAGCCAGACTAAAGGCAGGTCTCTCCATGAAACGGAATGTGCAAAGCACAGATTGCCCTTTTCACCATAGAGCTTTGCATCTCAATCATGTGCAGAAGAACGTGACTTCTTTTGAGTGTGTTGATGATTCTAGCCAGCAGCAAAGCTAAGAGCCATTAAGAAACGTAAGCTCATCAGGCGGTAGGTCTTCTGAGCTCAAAGAAAATAAAAACACCCACACATGACTTTTATCATTTCTTTACATGCTTCCTCAGATGCTTCTGCTGGCTGAATCCTCCTAGCCACGATTCTGCAAGGGGTCAGGAACTATTGAATAAGAGCATCCCCCAGAAATCTTCCCCCCTTTTCCATCTCTTCCACTTTATCAGGATCAGTTCCATGCGAAAATTTTAAACACTTAACTACATACGGGATAAGAGGCACCATTTTTGCATCATTCTTGAGGCAAAGGTGAGAAGTGGAGCCTCAGAACAGCAATGGACTCTACACTCCCTCCAGGGGCCACGTGTTCTATGCAGTGCCCAATAAAAGAGAAAATAAACAAATGAGTGAAACAAATACAGCTAGAATGGCGTTAGATACATTAGTGTGCTATTAAATGCTATTGAACTGGCGGCTCTCAGCTCCTGGTAACCCCGTGCACGGCAGAACACCATGCTGCCCCCTCCTTGTGATCCGCGGTGGATCAGATTGTGTGGTGGCAGGGCTTCACTGACTGATTTTCACAGTGTGCTTGATAAATAGATGGGTGGATGGACAAATGAACAGATAAAAGCTGAAGGCAAAGATTTCAGTTTGATAAAGCAAAAATTTCGCACAGTCTTAATTGTCAAGAACAAAATGCACAATTTGATTGGATGTGTTCGTCTTCTTCTGAAGATGATCAAAACACCAGCCAGTCCTCACCTGATGCAGTTTTGTAACAGTCAGCTGAAGGGTCGGTTTAGACTAGATAAACTTCTTAGGTCTTATAGATCTTAAAGAAGCTCTAGGGTTTCTATGGTTCAATGTATTAGGTGCTAACTAAAAAGTTGAAAATTGAACTCACCAACCCCTCTATAGAAGAAAGATGAGACCTACCGTGTCTGGAAAGATTTGCAGCCTGGGAAACATGTAGGGTAGCTCTGCTTTACCCGACAGGGTCATTGTAAGTCACAAACAACTTTATGGTACTGGGGTTTTTATTTGCATTCTAAGATTGCTGTGATTCTTGATTCGTAGTGAAAGCATAAGGCAAAGATCATTTCAGAAGCCTTAGTCAGGAAAGCCTAACAGATTCCAAGTGGCTCAATCCGTCGTCGGTCTGGTCCCACTCTCTTACTGGTGTTTCTGTCACAATTGGGAAAATTACCACCTTCACATTTCCCTTAAAACCTTCAGCAGGTTTCATGTCAGTAACAAGTTTCTTTTTCATTATTAAAGTCCTGAGAAATGGGCTTGTGGAAATTTGGTCAGTCCTTTTTCATTAAGTCAACCTCATAGCCTGGCTGCCTCTGACAACTCCCTGGAGGGTCAGATATGGGTTGGTTCCAACTCTCTGATGGATAACAACTGCATAGCTTGGTTTGATTAAGATTCATAAGTTTCTAGAATTGTCTTTCATTATTGAGTTGGAACTGACTTAGAACTGACCCCTCCCATGAATTTCTGAGGCTGTAAACCACACAGGAGGAGACTGCCCGTCTTTATCCTCCTGTCCTCCAGTGGATTAAAACCTTCAGCTAAGTGGAACCATTGCGGTATCAGGACAGCTCCTTACAATCACCAGACCTCTAATATCAAGTTGGCAGCAGGAGAAGCCAAGGGCAAGCAAGCTCAATGCATAATATAAACTCCTCCCAGGGAAGTTTGGGGCTAAGAGCACCACTGGATGACAGAAAGAAAACAGAAGTGCATTAGCTCCCCACCCATCTGAAGGCACTCTTCACAAAATGACAATTAGATTTTCCTATTCACATGAACGGGTGCTGTTCAGTGTTCCCTGCATTAAATTGTTTCAAGCTGCTGGCCTTCGGGCTGAGGGGAAGGTTTACTGGTGGTGAGGAAGATGCCAGATGAGGGAACATGGCCCTCTAGACCTAGCATTTCTCTCCCACCCTCCAATAAAGAACCTTTGGGAGTTTCCCCAAGAAACTCCTGGCTGAAAAATACTGTTAAACACCCAAAGCGAACTTTTTTAAATTATGAGAGGAAGTGAGATGAGAAAATTGACCTTTAATCCAAAGATGAAATCATGTTCTTTGCAAACTGAAGAAAATAACAAACCAAGAGGAAGCTCACTACATCCAAAACCAGGGGGCTCCCCACCCCCACCCCCGTACTCGTCTGCTTCTGCCTGAGATCCCTCGTCTTCTAAGCGTCGGAGAGGGGAGATGGACGTCCAGGGCTGCAAGGCTCTCGCTGCCTGTGAAACACATTGGTTTAGCAAGCTGAAAAAGATTTTTAATTTATTGTCTTTATTTTCTTAAATGGTATTTTTTTTAATTTTGGCTCCGTTTCAATAACACTAAAGAAACATCCAGAAACTCACTGTCAGCTTGCATGAACAGCCTTCCCAAGTGCAGAAATCTTCATGCTGCTTTAGTTCTTCTCTTAGACTGCTTGGAAAGTGGGGGTAGAATATGAAGTTTAGAGCCTTGAGAGTACAGTGGTTAACGCGATGGGTCAAAATCTAAACCTCCGAGGATATTTAACTCACTAACCCCTCCTTGAGAGAAAGAAGTGTCAGTCTGTTGTTATGCCCTGGCGAGTTGCCTGTGACTCATAGCAACACTATATACAGCAGCTCTGAAGCCTGCCCTGTCCTGAGCCAGTCTCACTAATTCCGACACATCTCATTGGGGTCTTTCTTTCCTGTGCTTTCCCTCCACCCTTCCAAGCATGATATCCTTCTCCAAGGACTGATTTCTTCTGGCCACGTGCATAAAGCAGGTGAGACGGAGCTACAAAATCCTAGCCTCCAAGGAGAAACTTGGTTTCACCGTCTCCAAGACAGACCTATTTGTTTTCTTGGTAGTATTCAAGACTTAACTTCTGTAAATATCTACTGTCATGGAAATCCTATGAGCCAGTGCTGCACTGTCCTACTAGGTCACTATGAGTTGGAATGGACTTGACTGGTGGTGGGTGTGGGTCTCGAGAGGCTCTGAGGAGGGGATTTACTTATGCGCCTCTGCTCTACATCCCACGCCCATTAGATCACCTCCTCCCAGTCTCACCGCTGATCATTCTTTCAGTTGGCCAACAACATGTACGTATGTGCTTGGCTCAGTGGAAATTTTGCCACCTATTGACAGCTAATATTTGACAAAGCACAAAAATTTATTAAATGTGGAAGACACAGTCTCTTTAACAAATGTACTGGGGAAACTTGATAACCATTTACAGAAAAACTAAACAGAATCCATTTTTTATGAATAAGGCATGGTTCCCTGACCTCAAAATTTTCAGAAATGATCAGAGAGATCTTTTACACTGGTAATGTATATAATGCTTTCAAAGAAATAAACTAAGGCTCAAGTAGGATAATTGAGAATTAGAGCATGGGCTTCTCCAAATCCTTCTGTAGCACTTAGCAAATACTGTGTCTGGAATGGGCTGTCAGTAAATATTAATGTGTGGGTATTTTCCCCAGGATGGGAGTGGTATGGGAGAGCACAGCCTGAAGCCAAAGCCTGAGCTGAGTGTGAATACCCGTTATGTCCCCTTCCTTGGGGTGAATCCAGGCACTTCCTGTGCTTGTAAGTCACCAAAAGTTTTACTGTTCTTTCCAGGATTTGATCCAAACGAAGAATTAAGCACACAGTCTTTGGAGCCAGTATCCCAGGGAGAGCCAAGTAAGTCAGTTGTCAATGGGGAAACCCAGGATGACTTTGACATCTGATCTGTTCTCATTCTATTTACTCACTCCCACCCAAACTCACCTCTCTCCTCTGTAGGTCTGTTTATCTTTTCTCTGGAAGCTTTTAGAAAGATTTAAATTATCTAAGGGGAGAGGGGCAGTGGAGGGAGCTGTGAGGAGAGATAAGATTTTTAAAACATCAGTAAGGCATAAAATTCAGAGAGCTTAAAGTACTTACTGATGAAGATAAAAATAATAGTATGATCTTCAGTGTAGATTACTCATCCACATAAAGAAATCAAAAGACCTCACAGCTCGACCCATAAGCTATGTTGTTGTTGTTGTTATGTGCCGTCAAGTCGCTTGTGACTCATAGCGACCCTATGTACAACAGCCCTAAACTCTGCTCTGTCCTGTGCCAATCGCACTGTCTCTGACACACCCATACTGATTGTCCCAGTCACTGAATCAATCCACCTCATAGAGGGCCTTCCCCTCCTGTGCTGTTCCTCCACCCTCCCAAGTATGATGTCCTTCTCCAAGGACCGGTCTCTCCTTACAACATGTCCAAAGTATGTTAGACGGAGCCTCAGAATCCTTGCCTACAAGGAGCCACCCAGTTTAACCCTTTCCAGGATGAATCTGTTTTCCTAGCAGTCCATGGTACCCTCAATACTCTTCTCCAGCACCACAGCTCAAAGGCATCAATTCTCCTTTTATCCTCCTTAGTCACTGACCAACTCTCTGATGCATAACAAATGATTGCAAAGACCATGGCCTGTATCAGACGCACCTTAGTCTCCAGAGAGACACCATTGCTCTTCAGTACTTTGGAGAGGTCCCTGACAGCAGACTTGCCCATGGCAATACATCTTTTAATCTCCTGGCTACTGGTGCCAAGAGTGTTGACTGTGGAGCCAAGCAAACTAAAGTTGTGAACAATCTCAATCTCTTCAACATTAATTCTGATGCTGACAATTGGTCCAGTGGTGAGAATCTTTGTCTTCTTGACATTGAGCCCCAATCCATATTGGAGGCTGCAGCTATATATAAGAAAAATGGAGAAAAGATTGACATTTTCAGGGACTTCATTTTGGGGGGAAAAAACCTCACATGATCATTCAATACCTGTTCCTGATAAAAACACTCAATGCAATTGTAATAGAGGAGATATTCTGCAACATAATTAAGATTATATATATATATACACACATACATATATAAAAGCAACAGCCAACATTATTCTCAATAGAGAGAGATGAAAGGCATTCCTCTAGCAAACATGCTCAGACAACGATACCCCCATCACCATCCCTATTCAACATTGCATTGGCAGTCCTGGCTGCAGCAATAAGGCAAGAAAAGGAATAAAGAGACATCCAGATAATTAGAGGAAGTAAAACTATCTCTTTGTAGATAATATGATCATAGATAGAGAAAATCACAAAGACTCAGTAAGAAAAGTATTGGAGTTAGTTGAATAATTCAGCAAAGTTATAAGATCAACTTAAAGAAACCAATTGGATTCCTCTACAGTAATAAACAGAACACTGAGAAGAAAATAAGGATAGCAATGTAATTTATAATTAAACTGGAAAAAACTCATTCTTGTCAAGCTGCAATCAAATCATAGCTGAGCCTCCAGCAGATTTTTTGGGAAGCTGTAAATCACATGGTGGAGTTTGCTTGTATTTCTCCCTTGTAGCCACTGGTGAATTCAAACCAACAGAGAAGCACTGTCTTTAATTTAGCAAGACGACTTTCTCTGGACTATACTACCAGAAATCCTTCCATCTATGATAACCACTCAAAGATGAAATATTTTTTAAGTAGGTAATAGTTGTTAAATATTAACAAATAGTGCCATTTGTTATCTAATAGTGCTATTTGTTATATGTCAGCATATAATAAATTTGTTATCTAATAAATAGTGCTAATAGTTATTGTTAACAAATAGTGCTTGGAAAACTGGATGTAGTTTAGTGGTAAGGAATTGTGCTACTAAATCAAAGGTACACAGTTTGAAACCACCAGCTGCTCCACAGAAGAAAGATGAGAATTTTACTCCTGTGTAATTTACTACCTCTGAAAACCCACTTGAGGGTCATCTATGTGTCAGTTCCATTGTGACTATTCCCAACAACAGATGTAGGAAATTGAAGCAAGATTCATACTACACACAAAAACTAAGTCAAAATGGATCAAGGTAAAACCTAAAAGTTTAAAGATCAACGGGGAGGGGTGGGGGAACCACAAGAACAAATTAATTGGCAAAAATCAAGGTTCCAGGAGTAAATGGAATAGCAATTGACATATTTCAACAAACAGATGCAGACCTGGATGTGCTCACTAAGTTGTGCCAAGAAGTCTGGAGGACAGCCACCTGACTAATTGACTAAAAGAGATCTATACTTATTCCCATTCCAAAAAAAAGGTGACCTGACAGAGTGTGAAAATTATCAAACTATATCATTAATATATCACATGCAAGCAAAATCCTGCTAAAGATTATCCAAAAGTGACTGAAACAGTAGTACATCGACAGACAACTATCAGAAATACAAGCTGGATTTAGAAGAGCTTGTAGCCCTAGTGATATCATTGCCAATATTAGATAGATCTTGGCAGAAAGCAGATGTTTCATTGTGTTTTATTGACTATGCAAAGGCACTTGACTGCATGGATCACAACAAAGTGTGGCTAACCTTAGGAGAACAGGAATTCTGGAACATTTGACTTTGTTCATGCAGACCCTATACATGGACCAGGAGGCAGTCATCAGAGTAGAGCAAGGAAACACTGCATGGCTCAAAATCAGAAAAGGAGTGTGTCAGAGATGCATCCTGTCTCCATACCTTTTCAATCTGTATGCAGAACAGGTAATTCATGAGGCTGGACTTGATGGGGAAGAATGTAACATCAGGATTAGAGAAAACTCATCAACAACCCGTATTGCAGGTGTATGCAGATATCACAACCTTACTTGCTGAAACTAAAGAGGGTATCAAGCATTGGCTGCAGAAGGTCAAGGACTGTAGTTTGCAATACAGATTGAAACACAGCATCAAGAAGACAAAGATTCTCACCATTGGGCCAGTTGTCAACATCATACTAGAGGGAGAAGAGATAAAAGCTGTTAACAATTTCAGCTTGATAAGTTCCACAGTCAACACTTTTGACACCAGCAGTCAGGATATCAAAAGACAAATTGCATTAGGAAAATCTGTTGTCGGGGACCTCTCCAGAGTGTACTGAAGAGCAAGGCTGTCAGTCTAAAGACTAAGGTGTACCTGATCCAGGCCATGATCATCACAATTACTTTCTATACATCAGAGAGTTGGACAAAGACCAAAGATGACAGAATAATAATAGATCTCTTGTGAACAAAGCCGCAATAAACATGGGTGTACATATATCTGCTTGGATGTCAGTTATGGTCTCTTTGGGGTATATTCCCAGCGTGGAATTGCTGGGTCAAATGGTATCTCTATTTGCAACTTTTTTAAAATTTTATTTTATTAATTTTAACTAACATTTACAGTGATTTTGGATTTTCATTCATTCTTCGTTGCACTTTTTGAGAAAGTGCCATACCACCTTCCACAGTGGTTACACCATTTTACACTCCCACCAACAATGAAAAGGGTTCCAGTTTCTCCACAACTCGCCAGCATTTGTTGCTTGCTGTTCTGCTAAATTTTGCTTTTCTGACTGGGGTGAGATGGTATCTCATAGTTGTTTAATTTGCATCTCTCTTAGAACTAGGGATTTTGAACATTTCTTCATATGCTTGTTAGCCATCTGAATATTTTCTTCAGTGAAGTGTCTGTTCATATCCTTTGTTCGAAGGCTTTGTTCACAATAGCAAGGAGTTGGAAAGAACCTAAGTACCCATCAACAAACAAATGGATAGAGAAGCTGTGGTATAGTCACACAATGGAATACTATGCTGCATTGAAAAACAAAGAACTCATGCAATATTATTCAAAATAGGTGACCCTGGAGGACATTATGCTGAGTGAAGTATCTCAGTCACAAAAGGACAAATACTGCATGGTGCC